CCAACCTCAGTAGCGCCAAGTACCCAACCAGGACAGGTATCTCCTACAAATCATGCCTCGATGGCTGCAGGAATGAAGTCCACGACACTTCTCCAGCGGTTGGGGACCCAAAGCAGAAACTCGTGTTCCCTGCCTCTCAGTCACACCAGAGCCAACTGAGGAGGTGACAGTGGAGCAGGGCAGGCAGCGTCTGTTGGCTGCCTGGTCTAGCTCCTTTAACCAGCCCTATGGTGGGTTTTACACATCACGCTTTGAACTGTCTCCTTCAGACCTTCTTGAACGCAGCATTGTCCTCCTAGCTTCACTCCCCCATGCTGTGCCTCTGTGCTCTTAGGAAATGCCAAGGGGAATTACACAACTTGAACTAGTTTGCCATGCTGCTGGGATACTCGTCTGTTACTGATTTCTTCTCCTTTTTTTATTAAAAGCATTTTTCCATTTCCATTTTGCCTTGCTCAGAAATCTCTGAGTGCATGTGCACAATTACCAAAATGCCAAGTCATCAGCATCGTACCTATTGAGGAATGTCAGGCTCTGGGGCACAAAATCACTGATCTTGCACAACGCCCTGATGAGCTGAGGCCTCCTTTGTCGCAAAATGAGGACTCCTTTTCTTTTTAAAGTTGGTTCTATAGATCTGACCTTTGTAGGACAGTTGTGATATTGGGAATCACCAAGGATTTTATGAATAAACAAACTTCAACAGAATTTTTGCTTTTAAAAGATAAAAGACATGTTTCTCCTCCCAGCTCAATAGTGCTGTAGCTTGTGTTTGATGGGTGAGCCCCTGTGAGTAGCAGAGAGGTACCCATGAGACAGTGTTTTGTTTTGCTGAGGGGAGGGGGAGGAGGCTGGCATGTGCTTGTTGCCTCTGTTTGCAGTGAGGAGTGGAAGTGACTCAGGAGAAGTTTCTCTAAATGGAAGGAGGCTAGCAAATCAGATAGGGCTCTGTTTGCCTGTGGTCCTCCACGAATGTATCCGGAGTTGTTCTTAACAGATGGGGTGTGTGGAGCCAGGTTAGGCCAGGCAAAACAGAAGACTATCAAGAGGGGTGGTGATTTCCCAGGGGAACGAAGCGACAGGCCCTGCTCTATCCTCTGGGTCATGTCCAACCTGAGTCAAAGTTGACCAACCAGGATAAGGTAGTTTTCAAGATTCCACGCAAGACCAAAGATGCCACCACCAGCCCCCGCAGTACTAGTTGCCTGCCCCACCCCCACCCCATCCCCCTTGTCTACAGCAGTGAGCCTAAAGGAAAGAATCTGGACTTGCCTTGCCACACACCACCCTAGAACAATCACAGGTGGGTTCAGACTCATCAGTTTGTTTTCAAGGGACCAGAGTCAGGCCTGAAAAGCACCTTTTTCTGTCCAGTATTTGTCATTTACAGTCACCATGGTGCTTCACTGTCCTCTGTGGCACCATCATTGTCCCTCCCAGTCCATGGTCACCCTGGGAGAGGGTCTGTCCCCATCACCCAGTGGATGCATAGGACCCTTGATGCCTGACCCCAGGTCCCCCTGTTTCACAGGTTCTTATTACAGGGACAGATAAACGGAATCCCCGTGCACCCTGTAGCCTCTCTCAGATTACCAGACCAAGTTCTAAGGCTTCTAGGTGCCCTTGGATTCTAGTTGCATTTCTGCTGCATTTCTGGAGTGTCCCGCCACCCCTGGCCTCTTCTGCAGATTGACTTCAGGTTCCAGGATGAATTGTGAGTTCTGAAACCTTTTTGAAAAACAAAATCTAGATTCTAAATAAAATCTCTTTAAGGGGCTTTTTGAATTATTATATTTTTTTAATTTTATTTTATAGGACAGATAGATCTTCTAACCACTGGCTCACCCCTAAATGCCCACAATGGTGGGGGCTGAGCCTTCCAAAGCTGAGAGCCAGGAATTCAATCCTGGTCTCCCACATGGGTAGCAGGGTCCCAGTCCCTTGACCCATCACCACTGCCTTCCAGGGTGCATGTTAGCAGGAAGCTGGAATTGGGAGCCGAGCCAGTACTTGAATGCAGACACTCAGATATAGAATATGGGAGTCCCAACTGGTGACTTAACCTCTAAGCCAAATGCCCACCCCTGTTCTATGCATTTTTTTTTTTTTTGACAGGCAGAGTGGACAGTGAGAGAGAGAGACAGAGAGAAAGGTCTTCCTTTGCCGTTGGTTCACCCTCCAATGGCCGCCGCTGCAGCCGGCGCACCGCGCTGATCCGATGGCAGGAGCCAGGATCCAGGTGCTTTTCCTGGTCTCCCATGGGGTGCAGGGCCCAAGCACCTGGGCCATCCTCCACTGCACTCCCTGGCCACAGCAGAGAGCTGGCCTGGAAGAGGGGCAACCGGGACAGAATCCGGCGCCCTGACCGGGACTAGAACCCGGTGTGCCAGCGCCGCAAGGTGGAGGATTAGCCTATTGAGCCACGGCGCCGGCCCTGTTCTATGCATTTTTAACTGAGTATCTGCTCTAAGCAGGCACTGTACCAGGTGCTAGGAATACAGTGATGATGACCAGAAAGATAAAATCTTTGCTTTCATGAATTTAGAATTGAGTTCAGTAGGCCTAACCTGTAAGTGCAGATGTATAATTAGTGAACACTTGTGAAAAGGGCTTTGAAGAAATGCACAGGGGGCAGTGAGGGAGGAAAAAGGGGGCATTTTCTTAGAGTGGCCAGACGGGGTCTTCAGAGAAGGTGACATCTCAGATGAGAGGTAATGACTGAGAAGCCAGCAGCCACCAGCTGGGGTGGGAGTAGGGGGAAGGAGGGCACCTACTGAGTAGGGGGAAGCTTTCATGATCCTTGATGCCCAAGGAGGCCTATTGGCTATAGTGAGGCAGCAGGAGCAAAATGAGACCACACAGGAAAGCAGGGGCTAGGGCGTGGGGGCTTTAGGGTCCAGAGCAAGTAATTTGGGTTTCATTCAGATTCACTAGGAAGTTGACTTGTGTTTTTAAAATGTTATTCTGGCAGCTGAGATGAAAGCAGAATGTAAGTGGGAGACCCAAGTGTGGTTCAGGAGCGGGTGATGGTGACCGGGACTGGACCGGAGACAGAGATGGACAGATGGGCCTATGGTGTCAGAGGCAGAGATGGCTAGACTGGGCGTGGGGCTGAGGGAGTGGCAGGAGTCAAGGTGACTGCCAAGTTTCCGATTAAGTATCAGCTAGAAGTGACATTTGCTGAGAAGGGGAGATGGGAGTGGAGTCCTTAATTCTATAATCATCTCCAGATAGTGATTACTATGCTTCTAATGAGAAAATTCTTCAACTGTTGGTATTGTAATCTTTCTGCTGCGTGGCTTGCCAGGCTGTAACAGCTTGGCAGCTAAATAGTATCCTGCATGACTCCTCCAGATAGATGCTAATCAGATATTTGGATTGATGGCCCCGTTATCTCAGGAGACAGAATTCAATTCCCCGGGTTCTACCCTAAAGGGGCAAGGACCAGGATCCATGAAGAAGTAGATTCTCTGCAGCCCTCTGAACCCAGCATGCTTTACGAGACACTGGCGGCCTCTCGGTCTCACCCCCCAGTACAGAGTGGCATTGACTGGGAAGCAGGGGGGTGGGAGAGGCCTGCTGTCCCTCCCTCTGGGGTTGTCCCATGGTTGAGGAAACGCTAGGGTCACCTTCAGCACCCTCTCCTGTTGATCTGGGGCAGGACAGCTATCAGGTCCATTGTGAAACCAAGTGATGTGGTCTTCCTTTCGTGTGTGTGACAACCATTGTTATTCCTGCCACTGTATTCCCAGACACAGTACTTTTTTAAGGAATGTATTCAATTATTCCTGGGAAATGTGCTACATATATTTCTTATTTTTCAACTATATGAGAGAATCACATTCCTCATTCTCTTAAAAACCCTTGATATCCTTAAATGGTTTAATTTTGACGATCTGAATAATGCATTATTTGAATTTTTATATCCCTGATAGTGAGATTGAATAGTTTTTTTATGAATCTTTCTAAAAAGTGTTTCTTGAAAATGCAGAAGGAACTTGACAAAGCATTTAGGTCTTTGACAGCAGACCTGGGGGTTATTCCAGCCCCCCATTAGGTGTTTGCAGGAGGGAGCCCTGCTGTGGAGACCACACTTCAGGGGTCCTGTGTTGGCCTCTTCAACCCTGCCCCTCTGTGAAGCAAGTAGTATGCAGGGCCAGAGGTGCACCCAGCCGGAGCCCGTGTTCTTCCTTTCAGACCATGCGTCAGAAACTCAGAATCCTGGAATCCCCACTGAGACAGCCCTGGGCAGCTAAGGGGATGAGAAGCCCAAGGGTGGGGGCAGCTGTCCTCACCCTGAGCTCTGTTCTCTGGTGCAGAACTTGAAGGAGGCAAGTTGCCATGTGCATTTGTCAAGGACAAGGATGGAACACAGCTTGTGACTGTGATTGATAGCTTGGAAAGACTGATCCCTGTGCTCTGTGGGCCTCTCTTTGTACTCTTGTCCCAGACCCTGCCAACACTGGGCAGGCCTGCACTGTCCCTGCTGAAATGCATCACCAGCGTGAGGATTGCTTGTCCATACGGTGACAGAGGGTGGATAGGGCAAGCCTAAGGCCTTGGTCTTTCTAAAATAAGGTTTGCGGTGAAGTTTCTCTAAAATACCAGAGGTCGAGGGCCTCAGGGTCTGGGTGGAAAGCCACGCTGACAGCACCGGGGTCCTCCTGCACCTAACCTGGAGACCAAAACCGGAGAGGCGGTGGGAGCCCTCTGCGCCGCCTACAGAGGTCCGGGGAGCATCTGAATCCAGCAGAGCCAGGCGGCCCTGTCTTAGGAAAGTGCCCCCCCCCCCCCACTAGAGGAGTAAATAGCAGCTCCACTCCTCCTTGGGCTCTGGTGGGGAGCAAGAGGGCCCCTTCCGCCACCCGGTGTTGCTACTGCCCCCTGGTCCCGTGGGACCTCAGTAAACAGCTCCTGTCTCTGTCTCCCCCCTTCCATTCTCCCATGTCTGTCCCCCGCCCCGCCTTTTCTCTCTTCCTCCCCTCCCTGTCCATCCGCAGTGAACCGGTCCCCTTCTCGCTGCAGCGGCTTGAATCGCTCCGAGTCTCCGAGCCACGAGCGCAGCGACTTGGCGGGGAGCAACACGCAGCTGTACGGCGGCAGCAACAACCTGTACCTGCCCGACTACTCTGTCCACATCCTCAGCGACGTGCAGTTCGTGAAGGTAACTCCGCCGCGCTGGCCGGCCTCACTCGGGTGCGTCGCACTCCCCCGGACCGTGGCACATCAGGCTCCCTGGTCTTCGAAGGGCCTGGTTTTCGGGAAACGTCACTGTTGTTCATTACTTCTCACTCTTTAAGGTCTCCTGATCCTTACCTTTCATGTGGAGAAACTGAGGCACAGAGCAATAGGCGATTAGCTTGCTTGAGACAAGTGGCTGGGACAACTGTTTCCTTTGATTCTCCCACCATGGGCACCAGGTTGATTTTGCTCATTTTGTTTTCAAGATAAATTTGCAGGTGATTCGTGAACCGAGTGTGTAGGACGTGCTGTGATTTTACATGATGGTGCATTTTTACACCTTAAAGTCTGAAACACAGCTGGGCCTGTGTGGTCACTGAAACTCCCTTGTCGCCACCAGGCACAGCCCCTTAACCGTCAGAGCTGTTTGAAGAGTGCCCCTCTGCCAATGCACACTTGCTGCACGGCTGTTCCTGCAGACCCCTCGTTGGGACTGCCATGGCACGGGGCCTTTTAAAGTTTCCACTTCCTCTTGTGTCAGTGTGTTTTATTTGCTTTGTTTTCCGGCGTTTTGCAAACCATTAGAAACTTCGACCCATTTAGTCCAGTCCAAAAGTGCAGCCCATGAGTTCGCTGGGTAACCATTGTCCTGGATGCAGGCTGGATGAGAGGTGGACTGCAATCCCAGAGAGTGTCTTTCTGTCCAGAACACACACCCTGACTGTCCCTTCAGAGAGCAGTGTGTGCTGGCCGGCTTTCTATGTTCCAGAACTCTGTGGACACCTGAGCTAACACTGAGACCAGCAGATAAAAGTAACCGTGGAAAGTTAGCAGGGGGAGGGAGCCAAGCTTCAGGGTTGAGCTTCCCTGCCTGCAGAGCGCGCGCTCTGAAATCCTGGGACTTTGGGGAGGCCTGCAGGAAACCCGCGGTGAAGGCCCAGGGAGTGATGACTTCAGGGAGCCGACTAAGCAGTGCCCCCAGGGGTCCGTGATGATGGACTCCGAAGGAGTCTAGTGGGGCAGGGAGGTGAAACCTTGGAGAGCTGTAGCCCAGCGTTCCCTCCCCACGGCTCCCTTTCAGTGCTGATGCAAACTTCCTCAGATGTAGAGTGGAGAAAAAGCAGAAGAGAAGCTTGGGTGTGCTGGCTCCTAACGGTTTGTAGGATGGGTGCACGGTGTGTGGGAAAAGAAATGGGAAGTCATAATCTGAGTGTGTGGCTCAAAAGCATTTCATGGATGCCTGCTTCCTACCTGGCACTGACGAGTGAGTGTGTGGAGATCAAGCCGCAGCCTTAGATGACTCCAGACAGCACTAGGGCCACACGGGAATTGAACAGGGGCATGAGATAAGCAGTGGTTGGGCCGAGGAGACAAGGAGGCTGGGGCTGAGACGGCTCTCACAGCAGGCTGAGCAAAGGGCGTTTTGCTGGGATCTGAAAGAGGAGGTGGAAAGGACGTTCAAGGCAGAACCGCCAGAGCTCGGCTGTCAAGGCTCACTCCCAGTGCTGCCCCTGGTGTGCGTAGGCAGCAGCTGGGGTGGGGTGCGGGTCAGAAGCAGGGCCAGCCTGCTCCAGGCCAGAGTGAGGGATCTGCGTTGTAGCCTATGTGCGCTGGGGAATTTAAAGTTTGTTTCTCAGATCTTTGCGTTTGTCCTACGCTGCTGGTGCAGCAAATTGCCGGATACTGGGGGACTTAACCAATCAACATGTATTCCTCACGGTTCTAGGAGGAGTCCAAGATCAAAGTGTTTTCAGATCTGGTATCCAGGGAGGCCCACTCCTGGTTTGCAGATGGCCTCTCACGTGGTGGAGAGTGGGGACAGGAAGCAAGGTCTCTTCCTACGAGGTTACTTATCTCACCACGAGAGCTCCCCCATGTGACTCTCCCCCCCCCCGACAGGCTCCACCTCCTAATACCATTATCTTGGGGTTAGGACTTCAGCATAGGAATCTGGGGGGACAAAATATAAAGGAACATAAAAGGGAAGTCACTTTCATGGAAGCTGGCGTCAGGAGCCAGCTACTGGCATCTCTGCTTGAGTCAGACCCAGTGACCTTGCTCTGACCTTGCTCTGACCTTGCTCTGACCTACAGCACAGAGTGTGGTCCTTCTCTCCGCCTGTGCATTTTGAAACTAAGAGGATGAAATGTCAGAGGTAGGAAAAGTGGAATGCAGGATAGAAACCAATTACAGTGTTTTCTAAATCTGAGTAAGCTTGTAGCTTCAGTCTCTAAAACTTCAACAGGGGCAAGGGTTTGGCACAGCAATTAAATCACCACTTGGGATACCCACATCCCTCACTGCAATGCCTGGTACAAGTCCTGGCTGCTCCACTTCTGGGACAGTTTCCTGTTGATGCACACCCTGAGAGGCAGTAGGTGATGGCTCAAGTAGTTTAGTCCTTGCTACACACATGTAAGACTGGATAGAGTTCAGGCTGCCAGCTTTGCCTGGCCCACTGCTGGCTGTTGCCGGCATTTGGGGAGAGAACTAATGGATAGAAGATCTCTCCCTGTCTCTCTGTCTCTTTCTCTGATTTTCTTTCAAATAAAATGAAAATCAATAATTTTAAAAGGGGGGAAGGGATCATTGGGACCAGCACTATGGCGTAGTGGGTAAAACCGCCGCCTGCATTGGCAGCATCTCATATAGGCTCCGGTTTGAGTCCTGGAGCCCATCCACTCTGATCCAGTTCCACTTCTGATCCAGTTCTCTGCTAATGCACCTGGGAAAGCAGCAGAAGATGGCCCAAGTGCTTGGGCCCCTGCACCCACGTGGGAGACCCAGAAGAAGTTCCTGGCTCCTGGCTTCAGTCTGGCCCAGCCCTGGCTGTTGCAGCCATTTAGGGAGTGAACCAGTGGATGGAAGATCTCTCTCTCTCTCTCTCTCACACACACACACACACACACACTGTAACTCTGCCTTTCAAATAAATAAATCTTTTTTTAAAAAAAAGGAGGAAATCACAACTAAATACGACTTATGATTCTGAAATGGATCCTTTATATATATTAAAAAAAAAAAACACTAAACTTTGATATACAGGGCGTTCCTACAAGAGAGAGCTCTGAGTTCAAGCACTTGTTTTGACAAACGTGTTTTGCTTTGGTGTTCACTTTTGTTTGGTTTCTTTGCCTAAGCTGAGATTATACCATAAAGTTGAAAATCACCTCCTCCTGGTTTAATAACTTTGTTAGAGCCATTGTTTAGGTTGTTCTTTTATCCACCTCCCTCACCTGTCTGCCCACACTCTGCCTCCCACATTTTTCAACATGCGGAGTTTAAAAATTTATTTATTTGAGAGGTAGAGACAGACCAAGCTCCCATTCACTGGTACAGTCAGTCCCTAAATGCCCTCTTCTGCTGGGGCTGGGTCAGAGCCAAGGCCAGGAGCCAGGAGCTCAATCCAGGTCTCCCAATGACTTGAGCCATCACCTCTGCCTCCTAGGGTCAACATTATCAGGAAGCTGGGGTCAGGAGCCAGAGCTGGAAATCAAAGCCAGCTACTCCAGTGTGGTCATGTTAACAGTTGGGCCCACGTTGAGGAGTTTGTGAGAAAGCAGAAGACTGTGCAAGGTAAGTGGTTTTATTGTGTGTGTGAATATTTATTTATTTATTCGAAAGGCAGAGTTACAGAGAAGGAGAGGCAGAGAGAGAGGTCTTCCATCCGCTGGTTCACTCCCCAGATGGCCACAACGGCCGGAGCTGCACTGATCCAGGGCAGGATCCAGGAGCCTCCTCCAGGTCTCCAATGTGAGTACAGCAGCCCAAGGGCTCGGACCATCCTCCACTGCCTTCCCAGGCCACAGCAGAGAGCTGGATTGGAAGTGGAGCAGCCGGGACTCGAATCAGTGCCCATATGGGATCCCACACTGCAGGCGGTGGCTTTACCTGCTATGCCACAGCGCCGGCCCCTCAAGATAAGTGTTTTCAGGAAAGGAAGCCGAAATGTCCAAGAGATGTCTGCACTCCCGTGTTTTTTGTTGCACTGTTCACACAGCCAGGGTGTGGAGTCTACCTGGGTGCTCCATTGGTGGATGAGTGGATAAAGAGCACGTGGTTACCTCTATGCAGCGGAATAGTACTCATCCATAAAAAAGGATGCAGCCTTGTCATTTGCAGCAGCAGCAGCAGCAGCAGAAATGAGGCAGGAGGACATTGTGTCAGCACAGAAAGAAAACTACTGCACGTTCTCACTTCAGTGTGAAAGCTTAGAAAGCTGATCTCAGAAGATCAGGCATCACCAGAGGCCAGGAGGAGGAGTATGGGCTATGGGTGCCCTGGTGCAGCTGGGTGGGAGGGTAACTTGGTAGGTCACTCACTGAACAGTAATTGTGTGTCTCAGTGTAGCTAATGGGATTCTGCATGTTCCCAACACAAGCGTCAGCATTTGAGGTGACGGGTGTGCTAATTAACCTGGTCATTACATGTTGTGTACATGCACTAGAAGACCACACTGACCCCATATGGATGTATGACTGTATGTGTCAATTATGAATAAATACACACATCACTGCTTTAAAGCAAAAAAAAAAAAAAAAAATAGGCTGGCGCCGCGGCTCACTAGGCTAATCCTCCACCGGCACACCGGGTTCTAGTCCGGTCGGAGCACCGGATTCTGTCCCGGTTGCCCCTCTTTCAGGCCAGCTCTCTGCTGTGGCCAGGGAGTGCAGTGGAGGATGGCCCAAGTGCTTGGGCCCTGCACCCCATGGGAGACCAGGAGAAGCACCTGGCTCCTGCCTTTGGATCAGCGCGGTGCGCCGGCTGCGGTGCGCCTGCCGCAGTGCGCCAGCCGTGGCGGCCATTGGAGGGTGAACCAACGGCAAAAGGAAGACCTTTCTCTCTGTCTCTCTCTCTCACTGTCTGCTCTGCCTGTCAAAAAAAAAAAAAAGTGTTTTCACAGTCCAGTATCCCTGTGGCTGGCTGCAGGAGAATTTTGCAAGGGCTTTTCAGGTTCCATGGAGTCATTCGACCTCATAGTTA